ACACCCATGTACATAGAGAATTTACCACTTTCTTCCTTTATTTGCTATACTCTAAGCCTTTATGACAAGTCCTCTGCTTTGGTGTTTTTGAATATATTTTATCAATGCCCCTGGCCCATTTGGCCAAAGTCCATATCTCAACCTCCATACCCATGACCCATGCCTAATTTATTCAGTTCTCAGGATTGGGCCCCTCACCTATGTACCAGGTACCAGCTGGGGTCCAATCAATGGAAAATCTCTGCAATATTATCCTACCAACTACAAGTATCAATGAGGCCCAGCTTCCTGCTGCTATGCCCCGCCATATCTATGCCTGTCCTTGGAAATCAAAACTAGCCTAAACTAGCCTAATTTAGCTAGGACCCCTAGGAATGGTGTTAACTGTTAATTTTACATGAATACTTGACTAGGGTCCAGATATTTGATTAGCATTACTTCTGGGTGTGTCTGTGAGGATGTTTCTGGGTAAGATTAACATCTGAAATCAGTGGACTGAACAAAACAGACCGCCCTCCCAAATTTGAGTGGGCCTCCACATTCAATCCATTTGGAAGCCTGAACAGAATAAAAGGTTGAGTAAGAAAGAATTCCTTCTCTCTGATTGTCTTTAAACTGGGATATTGGTCTTTTCTTGCTTTCAGACTTGGACTTGGACTAGAACTTACATCATCAGTTCTGGTTTCTCAGGACTTCAGACTCGGACTGGTATTACACCACTGGTTCTCCTGGGTATCTAGCTTACTGACTGAAGATCTTGAGCTCCTCAGCCTCCATAATTGCATGAGCCAATTCTTTATAGTAAATCTGTTTATATATATATATATCTTATTGGTTCTGTTTTCCTGGAGAACCCTAACTAATACAAATGATTATTTGAATTACTCTAGCTTGTAATAAGGTCAGGTCTCAAAGCTAATGAGTTGCCAATCCTGGCCAGTTCTATTCTTCTATTGCTTATTGGTGTTTAGCCTGGCTCCAATTGTGCCTTGAAGACTAGCTGTAATGAATTAGGACATTTTGCTCATGTAGATATTCAAATATATTTGATGCAATATAATTTATCAGTCAAATGTTCTGAGGCCAAAGTGAGTACCAAAAGCAAGACATGAAGAAGAAATGAATATTTAACTAAATTGAAAATTAGTCATAGATAAGATTCCTCAATTTACTGGGTAGTTTAACTAGATAGCTTCTAGAGTGCTATGAAACTTAAGATCCCAGAAAAGTTAGTGAAGAAATGGAAGTTTCTATCTTTATCCCATATTACCAAGTATTTCTGTAATTTAAATAAACAATATGAGCATTAATGTGTCAAAAATGGTAAGAAAGAATGAAAGACTGGTTGGTAAGACAATTCTTTAATCCAACAAATGCTAATTATAACAATTTTAATTCATCCTATAAAAGATTTTAAGACGCTCAGTTCTCAGCTTGACAGAAAAGTTATGGGAGAAGAATTTGAATAAATAAGAGTATTAGGATTTATCAGAAAAAGATAAGATTTTAACAAGGCCAGTTCAAGTAAATAAATGATCTTGATTTGAAAAACAAAGTAAATTGGCAAATGTATAAAAATCAAGAAATTGTCACTGAATCCAAAGATTTCTAATAGCTACATAGAATGGGACTAAGGTAACCCTAGCAGTACACAGAAGATATAGTTTAATTAGAAAACATTTTATGCCAAATAGCAGCTCTAAATTAAGGTCAAATCTTGGTTTGAATCTTGAAGAGGACTTTAATGGAAAATTGGTAAAAATCTGAATAATGTTTGGAGTTAACAGTAATCTACCAATGAGGGTTTTTTTTTTAATTTTTTATTATGTTAATCACCATACATTACATCATTAGTTTTTGATGTAGTGTTCCATGATTCATTGTTTGTGCATAACATCCAGTGATCCACGCAGAAATGTGCCCTCTTTAATACCCATCACCAAGCTAACCCATTCCCCAAACCCCCTCCCCTCTAGAACCCTCAGTTTGTTTTTCAGAGTCCATCGTCTCTCATGATTCGTCTCCCCCTCCGACTTAACTCCCCTTCATTCTTCCCCTCCTGCTATGGGTTTCTTAATTTTGACAAAATTACTACAGTCAGGAGCAATGGCAAAGGCAGGGCAAACCAAAACTGGGTCAAAGGTATAGGGGGATTCCATACTGCACTACCTTTCTGCAAATCTAAAACTGTGCCAAAATAAAAAGTTTATTTTAAAAAATTAAGGAAAAAGTTTCCATTCAGAAGTATAAGACAGTAATTCAAAAGTTCGTTTTTAGAATGATTATGACATAAAAATTAAAATGAATACTATTTAGGCCAGAGAGTTTGAAAACTATGCATATTAAAATAATTAAAATAAACAACTCTTCATAAAACATAAGACATGCAATAGATAAATAATAAATATACTGCAATGATGGGTAATATATATTTATAAATAAAGACATGTTAATAAATATTGCCAAATGTTGATTTTTTTATCTTTATGCATCATGAGAGGCAGCAGGCAAAGGATAGAGAGAAAGAAGGAATGGGTAGCAGTCAATATTTAATTACGCTCTATGTACTTATTTTTAGTTAACGTAAGAAAATAAATGATAAAAAAAATCAAATGTTTGAGTTCACACTGTAATTGCTTCCAAGCACTAAAATCTGTTTTGTCTATCTCTTCAATAATATATTGAATGACTCAAGATTGCATACTGTTGGTAGGACACAAAATGGTAAAAACGGTTGCTCATTTTAGGACTTTTTCCAAATCTAACCTGAAGATAAATGTCAGTTCTCCACATCCAGATAGGATGAAATCATTTGTGGCAAAACAGTGCTCCAGCCAAAAACAAGAAAAGCCAGGTTAAATTTAAAAATCCAGTTTAAAGATGTCAGCAGGCTGTGGCTGCAACAATGAGTTGAGTGGCTAAGATTCTGAAGAGGGTGGTTTGCAGATCTGTAGGCATTTTTTTCCCCCTGAGTTTTAAAGATTCCAGGCCTGGGCAAGGGGCTGGGAAGCCAGGCTTTGAGTGCACAAAGGGCTTGTGTTGGAGGACAGAGAAATCATTGAAGCTTTTGGTAGCTGTGCAAGGCTGAAGTGACAAAATTGGAGATTTGAGACTTGTTTCTATCTCAAATCATTTGATAAATCCCAAACGTGTACAGGGCTTGAAATTAAAAAGCTAAGCCCTAAAACCTCTGAAAAGCATAATGGAGTTTTCCACTCCATAATGGAGTTTTCTTACAATGTTGAGGACATAAACACCAGAGTACAAGCTTTGCCAGGAGTAGGGTCCTACTGAATATCAGCTCTGTGTGGGAAGCCTTACGAAAAGCACCAGGCTGAGCCACAAGGAGACCAAGACTTACCAAACTTCTCTCCAGCCTCCATGGGAGATAGTAAAGCATTTTAGAGTGTGATAAAAATGAACAAATAGGAAACATTTTATGAAGTAGAAGAGAAAAGGGGCAATTGATTAGTGATAACCTTAAGCAAGAAAAGACAAGAACTAGTATAGAAATACGCTGTCCTTAAACAAGGGCATGAACTAGGTAAGAAATAAAATACAAAAGGCAGAGTATATGAGTACAAATGCAGGTAGGCTGGTGAGTGAAATGGTGGGGAAAAGCAGAAGTTGCTTTTTATATTGGAGACGAGAGGTTGGATATCTAAGGAGCAAGAAGGGAGATAAAATAGTCCTTTACAGGAGACAGTTTAATGGACTAACAAAAAGCCAGAAAAATGCCAGGCAACACCAAGGGCCTACCTGAAGACAATGGTCATGAATTTAAAGGTTAAATGGCAAATCTGTGTGATATTCTTCTGCCATATAAAACTATGAAGGTGCAGATCAGGCAGAAAGTTAAATATATAAGGCTTAGGTTTTGCTTGGTGAGTAGGACAAAGGGCCAAGAGAACTGAGGTTATATTATATGCAAATCGGTAATAATTAGGTGAGCCCTGGAACCTAAGTGAGGTAAAGAGGGAAGTGGGAACAGGAGAGAATTGAGGGAATAGGAAAATAAGTGGTACAATCAATAGAAATAGGTGCCGGTGGAGCTAAAATTTGCTACTCAAAGCTCTGGAGTTAAGTGAGTTGGAAAGATAGTAAGTGCTGGTCAGAAATAGGGTATGACCATAGGGCGGATGGCAGAAGTAGAGCAGAACACATGATGATGAGAGGAGAGAAATTCAAGAAGATGAGAGGTCAGAACAATGAAAGAATCATCTGTATAGATATTTAAATCACCAAGAATTGTTTTTCATAATTCAAAACTACAAGTGTGGGCTGAAGAAAGAGACAATGAAATGCATCCTAAGATCTTCAAGAAATGAGGGAAGCAACACTGGAGTGTGCACAGGACTGTAACGGGAGTGCCTGCTGGGTGGTACAATCTGATGCGTGAGCTTCAAAGCTAGAGGTGTTTGGAGAGGAAAAAGGACCAATGATGTAAAAACACTAATGCAGAACAAGCCTCTAAGCCCACTGGTATAACTGCTGTGGGAGGGAATCCAATCACTACTTGAGAGGACTGCAGTGGAAGCAGTATCCTCAGGGAGGTAATCAGGTTTCAGTTAGAGCAGGAAGGTGTAAGTAATGTTCAGAAAAGAATACACTAATAATTTGATTCATTTATCAATGTTTACTAAAAGGCACTGAATTAGGCACTGGGAATAAAACAGTAATAAAGACATAATCTCAGCCCTCACAAAACTGCGACTCAAGTAAGAAGTCTCATATAAAAGTGATTACTTTAAAGAATATAACTAAATTCTTTTTTTTTGAATATAACTAAATTTTTATAACAACGTAACAGTTTTATTAAGAAATGAGGATGCATGTATTTGAAGAATGGTCTAACAATGGTCTAACTATTTTAATATATCTAATCATCGTGGTATTAATCATATGCTAAAAACTAATTTGAATTAAGACTATGTGGGGAAAAGTCATTTTTTAACAGTAAAGAAATGAGGGAAAATGCTTTTACAGATACATGCAGTTACCTGAGACAAAGCAGCATCCCGCTCTTCTATCACTGCATTCATTTCTTCTGCAGTTATTCTCTTTTTACATTCCTTGGTCTTGTAGATTCTATCCACAATTACAGCTCCATTCTTCTGAATAGCTATTCCTGTGTCTGCATTGTTTATTCTGTTCAGTAATTCCTGTAATGTCTACCAACACCATTATATGTTAGTCAGACATGAAGTTTTAATATATTTTATTTAATATAGGGTTTTAATTAATAGGCACATGTGAATTGTAAATTGACTGAGTGAAGTTATTGAATTTTCATATTGCAGCAAAGATGTACATTATTAGTGTGTCAATTCTTCTTTTTCCCACATCTTAGTTCTTGAAACCCACTCAATTGAACTTAAGCCTCTAAGATATAAGACTGACATCAAGAAATCTCCTCAGAGAATGGCTTACCATGTCATTTTCTTCAGGGTTAATATTTTCTAGCCTAGAAAAAAGGGACACAGAAAGCCTGATCAGTAGCATTTCCTTAGTGCAGCAAAATGAGTTCGCTTTTTAAATCTTTAGAACCTCAAGTAATTTCATTCGACTAGTCTTTAGAGTCAACCATGACACTGAACATATTAAAGTGCCACCTGCTCGACTCCATCTTTCAATAATGCTCCATATCTTCTGCACTGACTTCAGACTGTTAAGTTATTAATGTTTACTGCTATATATGACTACAAGGATCAATTGTTCATATGTGCTTAGATGAGGAAAGTTCCCTAGTGATAGAAGCACTACTTCTCATCATTATATTTATTCCTGGACTTTCAATTCTTACCAAAAACTGTATTTCCTCTGGTTTTTTGGACTTCATCACAAATAAAACAAGGCAAGTATTTTATTGCAAAGTTTAACTATATTCCCTCAAAAGCAAAGACAAATAATGACCACTAAATTTGAACTGAAACTCTCCTGCTGCTATCTATTTGTTAAAACAAATACACCATATAGAAAGGCTGACCAAAACTGGACCACGTATTTAATGACTAATGTTATTTTCTCTTTCATTACATACATAGAATTATTCAATTTAAAGACTAAGGAAGTAAATTGGTTCCTCTCATAAATGTATTTTATCTTGAAAGAGTCACTGTGCTTACTGAAATGTTTTTTGATGTTGGTGAATTGAACAAATGCAGGAAAGGTAAAGAAGTGCTAAATGACATATCTTAGAAAATGTCTATAATGTAATTTAGGCAACCATTAAATTGAGTAAATTAAATGAAAATCTGTAATGGGTATTAGTAAAATGATGTAGATTTTAGAAATGGCTCCATTATTTTGAAATTGTACTAAAATGTTTAGATATATAAGTTCCTGTTTTCTCATATTCTCCATTTCCCCCCCCCCCATTTCTGGGCTCCTCCAATAATATTTACCACAAAAAGAAAAGGATACTTGAAAAAGATATAGAGAAACTTAATAAATTTATTACAAAATTGTTCCAAACTCCACAGTTCAATGAAACTGCTACATTCATGAAGAGAAATTTAGAACATTGAATTTTTAACCGGAAAAAAATAAACATATATAAAAAATTCTTTTTTTTTTTTTTAAGAATTTATTTGAGAGAGAGTGTGAGAGAGAGCACAAGCAGGGTGAATGGCAAAGGGAGAGGCAGAAGCAGGCTCCCCGCTGAGCAGGGAGCCCCATGTGGCGGGGGGTGGGGGGGGTGAACGCTTGGTCCCAGGACCCTGGGATCATGACCTGAGCTAAGGCAGATGCTAAACAACTTGAACCACCCAGGTGCCCCTATCAAAAGCTATTTCTACATACTTAAATGGTATAAATTTACAGGGTGGCATAGCAATCTTGAATTATATATACTTAATATATCTCAAACTAGTAATGTCTACTTGGATTCACATTTCACATTTCTCCCAAAATAAATCAACAGTTTTCAAATATCCTGCTTCATAAAAACTTGTTCTACAAAAACTCTGAAGATGATCATTTCTTTTTAATCAATTAAACATAGTGAAAAGTATAAGATAACAAAATTCTTACACTTATTGATGCTCACGTAAGAGTATTTGAAAAACATCACTAGCATTTAAACATCAGTTACTGGTTGGCTAAATGTCATTTTTAAGGAAGCCATATTAGTGAGAAATATTTACCTTAATGTTGTTCTTTTTAGATGAAATCAGACAAAAAGCTAATTTCAGCAGTTTCCAAAGAAGACTCAACTTAAACTCTTATAAATTTAGTAATTAATTAAACTCAGTAATTTAAAATGAAAAGATACATAAAAACTAAACATTCAGATTAGTAGATTATTGGAAACTCTTGCAAAAAAAAAACAACAAAGTTTAGATCTCAAGGTTATAAATCTCCTTCTTTTGTTCCAAAGAACTACATATATGATTGGGAAGAAAATAACAGTGTAGGGAGGATACCTAATTTGTACATTCAAAATGATCAACACAACAAAGAGTGTATGCAATTTCTATGTAATACCTATAAGCTTTTTTCAGGCATTGCAAGGTGAAGAAGAATTATTACTTTAAGGAGAGAGAAATGAAGAGTCTGAATGTTTTAAATTAATATCTTTCAAGAGGATATGGTTAAGATAGTTGTATTTAGTCTAATACTAAAATTCTCTAACAACTAAAATTTTTTAAAAAATTAAAATAAAATTTTCTTATCAAAGGTTATACTAAATCCTTTCCACATGAATTTAGCATTACAGATATAAATAACGTATATGATTGCCCTCAGAAGTACAAAATGTATAGTGATTTATCATTTTGCTGATGAGTGAATCTGAAACATGTTTTGGTAGGTGTGCCAGGTCTGACATGTAGGGCATGAGGTTTAAGTCAACCACTTCGCATTTATTTAGATCTTAATTTTACTTTATTATTATCCTTTATGATTTTTTAAAAGATTTTATTTATTTATTTGACAGAGAGAGAGCACAAGCAGGGGGAGAGGGAGAAGCAGACTCCCTGCTGAGCAGAGAGCTGGATGCGGGACTCGATCCCACAACCCTGGGATCATGACCTGAGCCGAAGGCAGACGCTTAACAGACTGAGCCACCCAGGCGCCCCTATCCTTTATAATTGATCTCAATTTTGCTCTATGGTTATCCTTTGTAAGTACAGTGATAAATGGTCATTAAGAGAAAACTAAAACTTAAATGAAAATGAGCAAATGGTTAATCTGAGATTTGAAAAATTACATGCAAACAAGTAACTTTCAATATAAATAAGAGTCTGGAAAGAGAAAAGGCTAATATTTATATTTCTCTATTTGTATTTCTTTAAAAGTTTCAGGAAGTACTTGTCATAGATATCAAAGCTTAACTACATCATAATTTAGTCTCAACTAGATGATTTACAGCAGAGATCAGCAAGCTTTCTGTAAAGAGTCATACTGTATTTTAGATTTTGCTCTATGTTCTCTGTTGCAGCTACTAAATGCTGCCTTTGTAGTACAAAAGCATCCAAAGATAATACGTAAATGAACAGGTGTGGCTGTGCTACAATAAAACTTTATTCACAAAAACAACTGGAAGGATGGATGTGCACCATAGGTCTTCACTTTGCACATCCCTGATGTAGAGCACTGAAAAATGAGACCAGATCTCTGACGCTGAAACACTCTAAGTGCTAACTGTGAGATATTTTTCGGAGTTGGATCATTCAACAGCCAAAGACTAATCACCCAAAAAAGTGGATTACAGAAAATAAAATCCAGTCTTATAAGGTACATCACTTACTGTATTACTTAAGAAAACATAAAAATTAGACAAGCAACCTACTTTCAGAAAAAAGGAGACAATTTGAAACAGTTTACCAGGCTTTCTATTTTCTACATAAAATGACTTGTTAGAGGTTTAAGGTTTACTAGCAGCATGTATAACACATAAGGCTTTACTGGTTTAATAAAGACTTAAAGTAATAGTTGATGTTATATGACATACAGCTGACAAACTATAAGTTATATATCACTAATAGGAGATTTACAATTATACAAAAGAATCTCAACCTTTTGGAAACTAAATTATGCCTATAACAGTCTACCCAGACATAGTCATGATAATTAGTAAGAATTTTGCTGAAGTAAATGTCTATGGGCTCAAGTTTCAATTGATTTCCTATACCATGCATATTCTGACTGACACCCCTGCACTCTAAGTGCAAAGACCCATGCATGAAATGTCACATTTCTTGATTTATCCCTAGATCAGTCAATATCATGTCTTTCCTTTCTCAACCTATAGTCATTCACCTTGTTCAATGGGAAGCAGCTAAACTTTGACCTCAAATGATAAAAGGAACTAGTGATCATCTAATCAAAAAACTTTGAATTGTTAATTTTTATTCTCTTTCATTTTTACACAGTGCCACCTTAATATGTTAAAGAGAAAAACTGAAGAGACTGAATATCATGATCTCAAAAGTTGGAATATACATACACAAATGTGTCTATATTAGTAAGTAAATTTTAGTCATTTTAACTTGAATCCTTTTTACTTTTTTTCTAGTTTTGGATAAAAGTGAAAAAGAAAAAGAATTGAAGATTTCCAAGGGGTAGGGGAAGGCAGAAGGTAAGACAAAACAGACATCACCAAAAGACAGGAGATCAGAACTGGCAAAGATGAAAAGAAAATGACAGAAGGAATTTGAAGATTACAGGAAGCAAGAAATAAGGAATGAAAAAGAGATGTGAAATAATGTGTATTATTTCAACCTGTAACTCAGTGCCTCCAAATATGCCTTTCAGTCAAGCAAAGCTCAATTATAAATTGGTTCTACCTTAATAAGGAATTCATCTAAAATGCCCTGTTGAAAGTTCAGAACCTATAGATGTCAACTGAGTAGAAAGGAGCATCCACAGTAACATTTAAAACTATGCTGCCATATTATTATTTTAAAGTTGTTGTTTTTCCCTCTTATGTATGATTTTTCCTGATCTCCCCAATCTGCACCACTGGACTATAAAACTGTAGGAGCGGACTACAAACTGTTCCTAAGAACCAACAATTCATATCAATTAATATTATTTTAAGTATTTATATAGTTATTTAATGTCTATCTTCTCAACTAAACTGGGGCCATAATGCTGTGTTCTGAGTAACCTGACAGACAGAACATATTCAATAAATATTTATTGAATGGACTAAATAACTAAAAAAAAAGGCTTGGGATTGAGTGTTTTTCTTTTCTCCCTTTCCCATTTCTCCATTAATACAAATGCTACAAAGAACAAATGAAAAAGGGTCTGCCTCAAGGAACTCTAATTTTAATATACTGTAATAAAAACTGGAACAAGTGTATGTACAAATTAAAGTAGACAATGGAAGGTAAAAAAAAAAATAGAGGGAAAGAGAGGTTCAATTTAGAGCCATCAATTAAAGAGAGAATGAACAAAACTAAGAGACCAAATTAGTAGAGGCTCTGAGGAAGAAGTTTTGATTTGGATATGTGGGCA